ACGCCTCATCCTTCTCTTCCGTCGGGGCATGGGCGCAGATGAGCGAGATGTTGAAGAATCTAGCTTTGATGCAGATTGTGGCTAGACGTTCGTCCACCGGGGTGAACGCCAGTACTCGGCGACGGAGTCTCTCTCCTACCACGAATCCAACACCGAACTTGCGCTCCTTTACGTGGCAACTGTAGTAGACGTCGCAAGGCTTCACGCTTACTTTACCTTGCCCCGTCCATCGCATTTCTTGGATGGCGGTGATGTCAGCCTTTGTCTTCCCGAGGACATCAACCAGCCGGGCAGAGGCACCTTCCCCATTAAGGGTCCGGATATTCCAGGTGCATACCCTTAAATCATAGTCCTTTATACGTTTGCCGTGGTCGTCATCAGAAAAAGGGGGTCTCATCCGAGGCTTGTTGGAATTTTTCATTGGGCGGGGTTTTAACGTGGCGGGACCCAAACCCAGCGCACGCGAAGTTTTACGCCTTCTCACTTTAGCTCGCTCCCAAACGGGTGTTTGGTTGCTACCCAGAGGATACGTGGATATAAATATCCGGACGTTGTGAGCTGCGATTTGAACCGTACGCACAAGAATCGCTTCTGGCCACTCCCAGGTGAATGGCAGTCAAAAGTTTTCCACTTCTGCGCACGGAACCATCCTCCTATATCAAATTAAGGGTTATTAAATTTAGTACCTCACGTTCATTTATCATTTTTCAATAAGTCTTAAATTTTAAGATATTAAGATAAAACTTACAAAAACTATAATTTTCCCGTAGAGATTTTCAATTCTTCATTACTTCAGGAACCAAGTGAAAAATACAACAAAGTGAGACGGGATTTATTTCAAACGTTTTAATGTTGTCGGATGTTTATATAGTATTAAAAGGACCATGGACTTGGTCACGCCGATTTGGTCAGTTTTCAAGATCCTGATGAATGAAATGAAATATGTATCGTCAAAGAATAGGAATCGTTTGATAAGTTAATAGTAGTTGCATACATTAACATAATACAGTTAGGGTGGGAAACGCCCATTTTAAGTCCATTTATGCAGTCTTGAAAATTGGTGCGGAATAGTTTTATTAGTCAACGAAGACGCACATTTTTCGCGGTTTCTAAATTTGCCGTTATATGAAAGTAGACGTGAAATAATTGTTTATATATAGTGCATAAGTATTTTAGTTAATTGCATTATGTGAAAAAAGTGTTTAACATATCCTGGGAAATCCTTTTGAAGACTCTCCAATTGGACGATAGTGCTTCGCATTCAGCTTGAACGAAAAAAGGCGCTCCCTGGAACACTTTTCTGTAATCCGGCTCTTTTATCTAAACGTTTTTTATACAATTGAAGATACATTTTTTTAGAAAAAAAAACTGGAGATCCACTTAAGTTTTTCGATATAACTTTGGTAAATGTTACTCGATCGGCACGTAGTAAGTACCAAATTGAAGGAGAGACTTACTGTTACTGATTTATAGTAATAATACTATAAATATAATTAAGATTATAAACAAATTGCTTTAAATTAAAAAAAAGTGTTGAACATTTTTTTTTGTAATTTTCCTTTATTTGCAATTTTTATATTGTGCATAAACATAAGTAAACTAATTAGTGTTTCTAGAGGTTGTGCCTATTCAGTGTTTCCATACTCACTTGCATAAACCAAAATTTTTCCACGATGATGCAAAATAATGGCTTTTCTATTAGAGCTACCGAAATTGTTCCTAAATTTGCAAAAATTCGCAAACTATAGCTAATATTAAAACAAGATTAGAATATTTGCAACCAGCGACCTAAATGAACGGCAGCAATATTAATGCTGTTCTTTACATCTTTTGACTATAGGCCAGTGCAATTATCAAGAGAACAATTAAAAATGTATTGAAAAAAGATAACTTTGAGATTAACGATAAGCTAAAGGGCTGCGAAAAATTATATTTGACTTTATCTTTTGCATTAACTGATTCATTATTTAATAATATGCACCAAACCTTTTTGCTGAACCCAGAATTTTTAACAAGAATTGGTCTTATTCGACTAGTGTGCTGTGGGTGACTTGGCGGTCGATGCGCGGGCTCTTAACATTAAAATAAAATACTAATATTTTGCAGGCTTCCTGTTGACTTCATGATACATTATATTTTCACTATTACCAAGGGATTTGAGTAAAATTAGATTTTCGACCCGCCCTAGTGTTCATCTATTATTATTATTATTATGAGCCTTGAGCACTGCGACCTCTAAGGTGGTCTATTGTGCGTGGCCTTTTACCCTATATATGAAGGCTTTTAATATAAGCTAGCACTTCGGTGGGCTTTTTGTTCCATATTTCGAATGGATTAAGTGTTGTACCACCTAGGTGAGCGAGTCTGCGTCTAGCGAGAGCAACACATTCACAAAGGATGTGTTCTGGCGTTTCTTCGTCCATCTCACAGAAGCGACAGACGCTCGTGTCTGAAAGATTCATTTTACTGAGGTGATAACGCAGGGAACAATGTCCCGTGTAGTACCCAGTGAGAGTTCGAAGGTCCTCCCTGCCTAAATTTATGAGCTTTTTTGAAGCTTCTTGTGATGGACAGATGAACCGCTTAGCTTGTCTTTGCCCCGGACATTCATTCCAGTGCCTTTCGAATTTTTTGTCGACCCACTTGTTTATGACCTCCCTTAAGTGGGCTTTGGTGAGCCCGCAGAAGGGTTCCGGGCCATGGAATAGTGTGGTAGCTCCGTGTTTTGCTAGGCGGTCCGCCTGTTCATTGCCGTCATGGCCCTCGTGCCCCGGCACCCAGCCCAGTAATACTGTGTTCTTGCTTCCAAGACCGTTTAGGGTGTTGAGGCAGTCGTACACTAGTTTGGATGTTATTATGTGGGACCTCAGTGCTAGCAAGGCAGCCTGACTGTCCGACATAATGCAGATGTTTTTAGAGGATGTGCCTCTTCTGAGGCATTCTCTGCCACAGATATCGATCGCATGAATCTCTGCTTGGAAAATGGTGGGGTGGCTGCCCATTGGTATCGATCTTTTAAAATTCGGCCCAAATATACCAGGTCCAGTTTTTCCATCTTCAAGTTTTGATCCGTCAGTGTACCAAACTTCAGCTCCGGGTTTGGTGTAGGGGTTTCCTGTGCTCCAGGATGCTCGGTCCGCAATAGATACCTTGAAATTCCTAGAAATTACTAGTATCGGAGCTACTGAGTCCCTCATATGCATTATGGGGTCATTTGTGAATTTCATAAGGACCTTCATATGACCTGTCATGTTTCCGGTTTTTAACTCGGAAGTGTTTAGGATTCTCAGTGCCGAGAGACTGGCCTCCCTCTCTATTAGAATTGGGAAGGGCGGTATGCCTACAAGAGCACTAAGTGCATCAGCAGGACAGGTCCGCATAGCCCCTGTTATACCAATGCACACCATTCGGTGTAGTTTGCTTAGTTTTGCGCTAGCAGTTCTTTGTGTCGCTTTTGTCCACCATGCCAAGGATGCATAGGTGAGTATCGGCTTCACAACTGTGTTGAATGACCAGTAAGTCATTTTGGGGGAGAGTCCCCATGTCTTCCCGTAAAGTCGCTTGCATGCGAAGAAGGCTCTCATTGCCTTGTTTACGGTTGCATCCAAATGTACATTCCAGGTGAGTGTCTTATCTAGCCACACCCCCAGGTATTTTGCTTCATTTGAGAGCCCTATTCTAGTGCCGCCCAGAGTCAATTCTGTCATGGATAACTTTTTCCTCCGGGTAAACGGAACCAGAATAGATTTAGTAGGATTAATGGATAATCCTTTGGTGTCACACCATCTTTGCGTAATGCGCAGGGCTTGTTGCATGCGGTTGGAGATCGTTTCGTCATGCAGCCCTGTTACACAAATTACCAGATCGTCTGCATATCCTTGTGTTTCAAAGCCATGGTCGTTCAGTAGGAACAGGAGTTCGTCTATAACCATAGTCCACAGAAGAGGAGAGAGTACACCCCCTTGAGGGCAACCTCTTGTGGCTGTAATCGATTCTTTCGTTCCTCCCAGCTCCATCCTGATCTTCCTTGTTTTTAGCATAGAAAGCACCCAATTTATTATGATGGGGCTCACTCCCTTGCATATCAGGGCATCTCTTATTGCCCTGTATGACGTGTTGTCAAAAGCCCCTGAAATGTCAATGAAGGCACAAAAGGCTATGTTCTTAGACTCCAGAGCCTTTTCGATTTTCGATGTAAGGCTGTGAATGGCAGTCTCAGTGGACTTGCCTGGTTGATAGGCAAATTGGTTCTTATTCAGTGGTCGTTCTGCTAGGTTGACTTCTCTGATATGTTGATCCAAGATTTTCTCCATGCCTTTTAGAAGAAAGGAGCTGAGGCTAATTGGTCTGTAGGATGAAGGCATTTGCTCCGGTTTACCTGCCTTCGGTAAAAATACCACCTTAGCCTCAGTCCATCTACTGGGAATGTGACCCAGTAGGAGCGACGCTCTGTATAGTCTGGAGAGGACTGGGGCTATGTAGTTACTACCTTGTTGGAGTTGACAAGGATAGACCCCATCTGGTCCTGGTGATTTGTATGGGCTGAAGGTAGATACCGCCCATTGCACTCTTTCTACCGTGGTAAGTTTAGTTGCAAGGCTTTGCTCTCTACCAGAAGTGCGTGCTGGGACACCCAATTCCGGTAGATAATAGCCCGCTTTGCAGCCCGGGAAGTGAGTGTCTAGCAGAAGTCTGCAAGTCTCTCCCGGATGCTGAGTATAACTACCATCTGGTTTCTTTAGAGTGCCGATCGTATTTTTGTGTTCCCTATTTAGAGCTTTTTGGAGGCGTACTGCCTCTGGGAGGCTCTTTATTTCCTCGCAGTGGTTTTGCCAGCTAGCTCTTTTGGATTTCCGCAATTCTTTGTTGTAAGAAGTTAGTGCAAGTTTGTACGGATTCCAATCACCCGTATTCTTTGCTCTATTGAATAGTTTTCTGGCTTGGCATCTCATTTGCTCAAGCTTCTTGCTCCACCAAGGCACATCACGTTTGGATTTTACCTTTCCTTGGGGACAGCTACTATTGAAAGCTATTCCAATGTCTGAATGAAGCTGTTCAGCTTCAGTTTCAAGCTCGTGCGCAGTCGTAATTTGACCACCATGGCTGTTTCCACCTTCTTCCATGATAAAGCGAAAGAATTCCCAGTTCGTTTTTCTGGGATTTCTAAAAACTAGTTCATGCTCAGGAAAGTGGCCAATGTCGAATTCTATGTGCATATGGTCCGACATTGATACCTCCCCTGAGACGCGCCAGTTTGTGACAGAAGCTGCCATGTTCTGACTACTTAGAGTAAGATCTAAGACTTCCCCTCTAATAGCGTTCCTGAACGTTGGTTCATTGCCATGGTTTATAATACATATATTATAACTACTTATAAACTCAAGGAGGTACTCACACCTTTTGTTGGTGTCGGTGCTCCCCCAGACAGTGCTATGGGCATTTGCATCACAGCAGAGGATCCAGGGTATACCACTCTGCCGGCAGTGATCCGTAAGCGCCTTTACCTCAGGTGTCGGGGCTATCTCCTCCTCACCCGGGAAGTACGCGGAGGCAAGTACTGCCTCTTGCACCCCCCTAGGAGTAGGAATTTTGGCCCATACCGCAACGAGATCTGCCGTAATGAACTGTGAAAGAGGGAGAAACGTTATTTTGTTACATAATAGCATCGCCGCTCTTGGGCGACAGCTGGCGGCATAGATGATCTTACCGTCCTTTATATTAAGGCCTTTGACGTCACCTCTTAATATCCAGGGTTCCTGGATGAAGGCTACACCTAAGCCTTTGTTTGTGAACCTCCTATGTAAAACATCTGATGCTGCTTTCGCGTGGTGAAGGTTCACTTGGAGGCATTTAATGTGCCTCAGATTTGTGGAGTTTTTGGGGTGAGGTGCCATTACTTGCGGTCTTTTCGGCCGCGAGCAGCCACCTTCTTCCCCCTGTTGCCATTCAGCAAGACCGCTTCTTCGCCGTCCTTGCATCTCCCTTGCCTTTGCGGCTGGACATAGCCGCTTTGGAGCTGCCATGTAGTGGTGGCCGTTTTGCAGGCTTTGGGGATGCGATGGGTCCAACGCTTTTTTGGGCTTCTTCCAGCACCTGTTGTAGGGTCGGGCATGTTGTTGTTGCTGTTTTCGGAGGCGTTGTTGGAGCTTTGTATGCTACGTGTAGCTCTGTGCCAACCTCCGATGACTTCTGCTGCACTTGCGTGTCATTGGGTAGCTGCCTGGGAGCTACGATGACGTCTTTGGAGCAGCGAGGTTGCTCCTCCGAGTTAGGGTATTCGGTGTCGGCGGCATCTTTGTCTACCACGGGCATCGACGGTTTGACTTTCTCCCTAAGTTTTACTACGCCAAAGCCATAGTTTACCACGTTCCCGCGGTGCTTTAGCGTGTCCGCTGATAGCGGGTCAACTGCAATGGTGATTTCCGCCATTGTTGACCTGCGTACTCGATTCAGAATACGCCAGTCCGGAATTCTCAGGCCGTCATTCTGTGCCTGAAGCAGACTGAGCGCATCCTCACTGGCAGAGCTGTCCAGCTCTGGGAAGAGTCCCACAAGAATGATGCGGCGAGGTGTTTCTGCCTCCTCGACCACTTTCATCTTCGCCCCCTTCCATGGTGCCAGCTTTGGAACAGTGTTCCGTATCCACCCCGCGGTCGCAGCATCTCTGCAACTGATGGATAGCCATCCCGAGTGGAAGGTGCAACCCTTGAATATAGGCTTTACAGCGCTAACTGTGTTGCTCCTGACCGCCCTGAGGATGGCATTTTGGATAGCTTTGAGCTCATCCGTTGACCACACTGTGGTTGGATAGTCCTCTGGGACTAAACCCAGCTTCACTCCGCATAGTGCATCCCTAAATGAAACCGGCTCCCCGCGACAATCTGCAGGTGCATGCGGCACAGTTGCCTCCCCGGTGGGCACAGATGCAGTCCCACCTGGCCTGCCCCCTGCAGATCCCTCACTGGATTTGGCAAATTTCTTCGGGGATCGCCTCTGCGGGGTAGAGCTATCAGACCTAGGTCTTTTTTGGAGAGTTTTCTTTTCCCTCCGTGGTGGGCCAACGGGTTCTTTGGCTTTTTCTCTAGCCTGCTCATAGCTCATTCCCCTTTCTATGTACCGCTTGAGGCATTTCCGACCGGCTCCGCTAAGCCGCTCCCGCTCTCGAGCTTGGTGAGGTGGGTTGTTCACCGGAGAGGCAAGCAACTTCTGCTCATCCTCCGGCGAGATGTGTTCATCTAACTCGTAAATGCATCGTAAAATATAAAATTTTTATTGTTCTCTCTTTTCCCACAATGAAATTGTTTGGTGCCCAAGGACGAATAGGGTTTAAAAAAGTGCTTTTAATTAATTTTTCTATACTACACTAATAAAGTTAGAAGGTCGAAATTCGAGGATGTGATGGCTTATATATTAGATCTTTACATATATTTTTCTTCCAAAAGTAACTACATATTGGAAAGTTTCGAGCATATTCAAGAATAAAGTTTAGGAAGGGCATTTTCATTACCTATTCGTCTTTGTGGTCAGAAAATTCAATTGTTTTCAATTCTCTTTCTGTTTTATTTGATATACATATTAATCATATATCTTTTTAATTTAAAAGTCCTTTAAAAAAATCACGATATCATATAGAAAACGCAGTTTTACTATATTTTGCCCCTAGTATTGCCAGCATATAGATTTTTTATATGTAAAAATCGATTCAGCCGTTTTTGCGTGATTTAGTGTTCGCCAAAGGAAATAGGCAGTCTGTTTCGAAGCAGACAAGCACTGAAGCATCGAGTGCATACTTCTTTCTTTTTCCGCCTGCAACAAAATACGTAATTCCTTTGTACACGCATTCAGCTCCTATTTAAGCTTAGGAGAGCGAATTCTTTGTTATTCCCTTCTGAATTGTCGCTTTTTACTTATTTTTTTTTTATTATTTAGGGTATGCAGGCCATGGCAGTAAGAACTGCGATTTTTAATAGAAGTATTTGGTGTTGCAATTTCTACGACCTTGTTTCAGTAATGCGAACTGACATACTTTTTGTATTTTCGCCAGTTTGTGTGCTTATTTGTAAGATTTTTGGTTTTTCTTCATAGTTAAGAAACATTGATTATACATGAGGCAGGGAGAATGATATGAAGAGAGATCAAATAATGCTTCTGTATTAACTCGGTGTCACGCAATATCCTTTCTTACACCAAAGTCAATAAGATCGGGTATTTTTTTGGTATATGGCCAATACGTTAGCTGACCAGTAGACGAGACGTCAAATCCTCTATTCTGGATAACTTTATATAGATTTCTACCCTTTGGTTAATCAATCTAGACGCCCGGTATGTATGTTTGGCATTGTAATCTCCTGCTACAATAAGCTTACTGAAAAACTTTAGGAAAATGTCACCAAATTATTTTTCTGTTAGGCTATGATGAGGGGGGCAGAATATAGCAGATAGAGTAAGGCCACCCAAGTAGTCATCAATGTGTATTGCAGTAATATGAATGAACTCATCACTTTCCCTTATGGCTGCTTAGTAGTTATCATAGAATTTGTACCCATTAATTTGAAAGTTATTAAAATGGGTAAGGTGGGTCACAGATACAAGCAAAACGTCTATATGAAAGCGCTCTAGGAAAATTTATAGTTCGTTTTTATGCTGGGTTAGCCCGCTCGCATTCCAAAAACAAATTTTGAGATTATTCATGGGTTAGCTAAAGTGGCTCGAAGTAATAGATTTTGATTTTTAATCAACTCGTGTACTATGGTTTGCATTGCCACCATATGCACCAGCATAACTTTTAGAAAATCAAATTTTGAATATCTTGTGCGTATATTTGCACAGTTTCTGGTTGAAAAATAAACACTTTTCAGTAGTACACCCAGAAAAAAGGCAGCTACACATATTTCTCTCGGCATATGATTTGGTAACTATAACCAAACAACGTAACTTTAACCAAGTCATGTGTTGAGATTAATATTTTTAGCTGACTTTTTTCTGGGTGTATCTTTACATGCACTTTTTAGAGTGTATATTACACTTTTTAATAGGAACAATTAATTCGTATCAGCGAGAGTCGACGTCGACAACCACAGTATGGCCGAATATCACGAAAAAACGAAAAATGAAAGTCACAAATTTTTTTGATCAGAAATTAGAATTTAATTATGTAATTTTACCCCTACGAGGAAGTTTCATCAAGATACACCGAAAAATATTCGTCGGACCGATATGGGTTCACCCACACACCTTCAATGTTGCTATAAAATAGCTATCTAAAGTTATTTTAAAGCTCCTGGGGTACACCTAAATGCTCTTCTGCATGCGAAGTGCCTCTTAATTTAATTATTTAGTTTGTATGTATGCATGCATGATATAAATTAGTGATGCTGCACGTAAAGGTTGAATTAAAATTCGTCAGCACGTACACATACATACTAACTCTCATTATAGGAAAATAACAAGAACGAAGTTCCAAGAATACAGCATGCGCTTTAACGAGACGTTAATTAAATTCAGACATGAACTAAATGAACTTCAACGAAGTGTGGCAGACTGGCTGGATGACAGCGAACCAAGCTGATGTGCATATGTATTTTATGTACATACGGACAAACCACGAAATACCGATCTCTTTGAGACTTTTAAAATGTGGCCTGGGATGCGTTTGCGTGCCCGTTCATTCGACATAATTAATTAAAACATTCATCCATACATATGAAAAGGTATGTAGGTACACGAAGTGTTTTTGCATGATTACAGCACTCATACGCCGTGATGCACGCAATGTGCCACGTTTTGGGAACTAAGTACCTATGAACAAAGCATTAAAATTAAATTAAATGAAGACATAAAAGCTGTTAGCATAGCATTTTAGATAGTCACCTGATCTGAGTAACTTTCTTGTATGGCAATTTCATGCACTTGCAAATGTAAAGGTGCATATCCCTATTGGGTATTGAACTAACAAAAAGACATTCCAAATTAATTGTTGAACTAAATAATAATCATACGTAATTTCACAACTGTGCTCACAACAGAAATAAGTAAAAGCATCTTATTTACCGTAGAGAAGAACAAATTAACATTTTCTGAATTTAAAAATTGTACAGACTAGTGAAGCATGAACTATTTTACAAGCAGTAACTTTCGAATGAGATATCCGCTTTGGGGTAATGAACCGCTCCCATAATATTTTCTCAAGGTACATGTCTTTATTCTATCAATCCTAGACGGTCATCTGTATCCACTTTAAAATGAATTTGAGCAACAGCTTCTTTTTTCTGCA